AAAAAAAAAAAAAAAGAAAAGAAAGAAAGAACAAACGAAAAGAAAAAGAAAAAACGTGCTGCTTGTGGTGGCTCACGCCCATAATCCCAGCACTTTGGGAGGCCAAGGTGGGAAGATGGCTGGAACCCAGGAGTTCAAGAGCAGCGTGGGAAACATAGCAAGATCCCATCTCTACAAAAAACTACAAAATTAGCTAGCCATGGTGGTCTGTGCCTGCAGTCCCAGCTACTCAGGAGGCTGAGGCAGGAGGATCTCTTGAGCATAGGAAGTTGAGGCTGTAGTGAGCCATGATCACGCCACTGAACTCCAGCCTGGGTGACAGAGTGAGGCTCTGTCTCCAAAAACAATGTATCTATTTAAGTCCAGTGATTCTCCGGAACTAACTGCGTTTTGCTTTTGTTCTTGTCTGACTTGCCTGGCTGGACCTGTCTGGGCGACTCCACCGTCCTCTGCCTGAATCTCTGGTGCCCGGCGACTGATGCCCATTCCTGGATGGGTCCGTAGGCCTCTCCCAGAAGAGACGGGGGTGGAATTGCTTGGCAGCCCGGTAGAAGACACATCCTGTAAGTTTCCACGTCCGCAGAAGGGCGGAAATGGGCTCAGTGCTTCCGGGTTTCAGCCCTGCCTGGGGCTGTAACTGTAGAAATGTCACAGGCCACACCGTGGGCAGAATGTTCCGTCCTGGGGTCTACGGTGGAAGTGGCTGTGGTGGGTGAGAGACACAGTGGATGATGGCGCTGTCATGAAGCCAGCACGCTGTGTTGCTGTGTGTCCCTGTGCTAGTCACTCAGCTTCTCTGTGCCTCCAATGCCTCATCTACTAAATGTAGGTAGTGAGCTTCTCGCAGAGAGGGCATGTAAGGATTAAATGAGGTGATGCCAAACGCCCTGGAGGCACAAAGTCAGCACAGCCAAGGGCACCCTGGGAGGCTCTGCTATCCAGAGCTCTAAACATATATATTTTAATGTATAATACATTATATCGGACCCAAATATATACATTTTTTAGGAGACCGGGTCATAACTTTGTCATCCAGGCTGGAGTGCAGTGGCGTGATCCTTCATTTATTTATTTATTTATTTATTTATTTATTTATTTATTTATTTTTGAGATAGAGTTTCGCTCTGTCACCCAGGCTGGAGTGCAATGGTATGATCTCGGCTCACTGTAACCTCTGCCTCCTGGACTCAAGTGATTCTCCTGCCTCAGCCTCCCAAGTAGCTGGGATTACAGGTGCCCACCACCACGACTGGCTAATTTTTGTATTTTTAGTAGAGACGGGGTTTCGTCATGTCGGCCAGGCTGGTCTCGAACTCCTGACCTCAGGTGATCCGCCCGCCTTGGCCTCCCAAAGTGCTGAGATTACAGGCGTGAGCCACCGCAGCCAGGCCAAAGTCAGGCTTTGAACTCATGTCTACCCAATGTCCAAGCGTCCATCTTTAATCTCTGAGGCAAGTGCCCCGCCCCTGCCCACAGGACAGTGGTTATAACATTCACCCCGTCAGGATGATGCCTGCTTAATTCTGCCCGCCCCCAACAATGGCATGGACACAGAAGGGAGCCTACCCTCTTCCCCATTCCTGTATGATAAAACAGCTTCCACCAGGTAGGAAAACGGGGAGGAGGTAAAAGAGAGAAAGCAAAGATTTTTTCCGTGTTTCTCATTTCCCTGCAGCTCCTCCCAACACGCTAAACTTCAACGGAGCGCATCGTAAGAGGAAGACGCTGGTGGCCCCAGATATCAACATTTCTCTGGATCAGAGTGAGGGATCCCTGCTGTCCGATGACTTCTTGGATACCCCTGATGACCTGGATATTAACGTGGATGACATCGAGACCCCCGATGAGACTGACTCGCTGGAGTTCCTGGGGAATGGCAACGAACTGGAGTGGGAAGGTAAAGTTCGGGGTCTCTCGGGGGCCTGCGGGAGGGCCTCCACCTTTCTGTCTCTGGATTCCCATAGGCTCAGAGAGTCACAAGTGGGGCAGGGGCTCTAAGCTGTCTAGCCTTAAATCCAGGAGATCAAGGCTGCAGTGAGACGTGATCATGCCACTGCACTCTAGCCTGGACAACAGAATGGGATCCTGTCTTAAAAATAAAATTTTTGCCAGGCGCGGTGGCTCACGCCTGTAATCCCAGCACTTTGGCAGGCCAAGGCGGGCGGATCACGAGGTCAGGAGATCGACCTCATGATCACAGTGGCTAACACAGTGACACCCTGTCTCTACTAAAAATACAAAAAATTAGCCGGGCGTGGTGGTGGGCGCCTGCAGTCCCAGCTACTCAGCAGGCTGAGGCAGAAGAATGGCGTGAACCCGGGAGGCGGAGCTTCCAGTGAGCCAAGATCACGCCACTGCACTCCAGCCTGGGCGACAGAGCGAGACTCCGTCTCAAAAAAAAGAATTCAGGACAATGCAGTGTCTCATGCCTGTAATCCCAGAGCTTCGGGAGGCCAGGGTAGGAGGATCGCTTAAGGCCAGGAGTTTGAGACCAGCCTGGGCAACATATCGAAACCCTATCTCTACAAAAATACAAAAATTAGCTGGGTGTGGTGGTGCCCAACTGTAGTCCCAGGTATCTGGGAGGCTGAGGCATGAGGACTGCTCTCTGTGTACCAGGCTCCTGGGAGAGTAGAACCCAGGCACGCATGTCCCGAGTGCCCTCGTGGTTTGATGAAGCAAATGCGTTCACCAGCACTGAGAAGCTCCAGGACACAGGTCCTTAACCAACAGAGCACCCTGGGAGGCCAGCAAAGGGAATGTCCAGAAAGGCTTCCTGGAGGAGGCGGCATTTGAGCCAGGCCTTGAAGCGGGAGTGGGAGAGGAAAATGGGTCAGCAGGGCAGCCAGGCGGGGAGAAGAGAAGGACGTGTGGGTCCCAGCAGCAAGGGACACGGGAGAGGGGAAGGAAGGCAGAGCGGGAGGGCGGGAGGTATCTGGACTCGCATCCATGCGACTCTTCCCCTCCTGTTTCTAGATGACACCCCCGTGGCCACCGCCAAGAACATGCCCGGGGACAGCGCAGATCTATTTGGGGATGGCACGACGGAGGACGGCGGTGCCGCCAACGGGCGCCTGTGGCGGACGGTGATCATCGGGGAGCAAGAACACCGTATAGACCTGCACATGATCCGGCCTTACATGAAAGTGGTCACCCACGGAGGTGAGACCCGCCCCTTGGCGCCCCCTTGGGGCTCCAGCCCGGCCCGTGGGGCAACAGGAGGCTCGTCAGTGCCCCTCTCTGAACCTCAGTCTCTTTGTCTGATGCACTGGGATGTTAAGCCGTCAACTCGCTTGGGGTGGACAGACTGTGGGCAAGACGTGCATGGCCAGGCAGGCGCAGTGAGGGCTCCTGAGAGTCACTGTCACTCCCCACCGAAGGCAGAGACTGGCTGAGGGGTCACTGGCTGCTGTGGCTCCGAGCCATGCCCTCCTGAGCGTGTGGGCACCGGGACGTGGTGGGTGGTGCGCAGGAAGCAGCTCAGGGCTGGGAGAGGAGTCTGACGTTGCCGACCGGCTGCCTCTCCGCAGGGTACTATGGCGAAGGCCTCAACGCCATCATCGTCTTCGCAGCCTGCTTCCTTCCAGACAGCAGCCTCCCCGACTACCACTACATCATGGAGAACCTCTTCCTGTGAGTCCCCGCCCGCCTGGGCAGCCTCGGGCCAGCTCTGACGCCTCCCTGGACGCAGGGGCACCAGGCTGCAAGGATTGTATTGTGGGCCTAGGAAGCCTGCCTGGCACCAAGGAAGGGCGTGGCGGCCACAGACCTTGATCTGAGTCCCTGCTGGCCTTGAGGCTCACAGTGGCTTTCCTTCTGGGCCACCCTGTTCTCCTCACCGTTCTCCTCCTCTTCCTCCTCACCGTCCTCCTCCTCTTCCTCCTCCTCCCCTTCTTCCTTCCCCCTCCTCCCCTTTCTTCTCCTCCTCCTCCCCCTCCCTCCTCCTCCCCTTCCTCCCTCTCCTCCTCTTCCTTTTCCTCCTCCCCTTCCTCTCTCTTCTTTTCTCCTCTTCCTCCTTTTCGTCCTCTTGTTTATCATTTACTGAGCACTTACTCTGTGGCAGCCGTGGGCTAAGCGCTTCCCATCTGCTAACACATCCCACCCTGACCACAGCCCTGTAAGGCAGACGCCATTGCCTCCCATTCTACGGGTGAGCACCCTGAGCACAGAGAGGTTGAGTCATTTGCCCAAAGACACACAGGTGTCATTTTATGATGACAGATACAGGCAATACGCACACAGCACCTGATAGCTGATATGAAGAGCTCATCAATCATGACAACTCTTATCATTGTTATTAGTAAGATTTCCATCTTCAAGCCGGGCACAAGACCTCACGTCTGTAATCCCAACACTTTGGGAGGCTGAGGTGGGAGGATCGCTTGAGTCCAGGAATTTGAGACCAACCTGGCCAACATGGTGAAACCCCATCTCTACTAAAAATACAAAAATTAGCCAGGCATATTAGCGGGCGCCTGTGGTCCCAGCTACTTGGGAGGCTGAGGCAGGAGAATCACTTGAACCCGGGAGGCGGGGGTTGCAGTGAGCCAAGATGGCACCACTGTATTCCAGCCTGGGTGACAGTACGAGACTCCGTCTCAAAAAAAAAAAAAAGGTCTAGAGACCAGCCTGGCCAACATAGTGAAACCCTGTCTCTACTAAAAATACAACAACTTAGCTGGGCTTGGTGGCAGGTGCCTTTAATCCTAGCTACTAGGGAGGCTGCAGCAGGAGAATCGCTTGAACCCGGGAAGCGGAGGTTGCAGTGAGCCAAGATCGCACCACTGCTCTCCAGCCCTGGCGACAAGAACGAAACTCCGTCTCAAAAAAAAAACAAGACTCAATAAAAGGGTAACTGCCCTAGGAGGCTGCCCGCTGACACTCATGTGGAGTGTGCTGGGATCATCCACGTCCGCTCCCACCCTGCAGTCCGCCAGGACAGCAGACAACACCAGGACCAGTGTGGCTGGCCCAGCCAGGGCAGGGGTGGAGGCAGGCGGGGTCGGCATCACAGGTGTCCTGACGCTGGACCCCTCCATGTTGGGTCCCTGCCTTCTGTGCCCCGTGAGCAGGTACGTCATCAGCAGCTTAGAGCTCCTGGTGGCTGAGGACTACATGATCGTGTACCTGAACGGCGCCACACCCCGGCGAAGGATGCCGGGGATCGGCTGGCTGAAGAAGTGCTACCAGATGATCGATCGGAGGTGAGGTGGGGATGCCTCAGGAAGCACAGCGGGGGCATGAAAATCGCACAGGGGGCCGGCCTTGGTGGCTCACACCTGGAATCCCAGCATTTCGGGAGGCTGAGGTGGGAGGGTCCCTTGAGCCCAGGAGTTTGAGACGAGCCTGGGCAACACAGCAAAACCCTGTCTCTACAGAAACACTTATAGGCTGGGCGAGGGGGCTCACACCTGTAATCCCAGCACTTTGGGAAGCCAAGGTGGGCGGATCACCTGAGGTCATGAGTTCAAGACCAGCCTGGCCAACATATAGTGAAATCCCATCTCTACTAAAAAAATTCAAAAATTAGCTGGGCGTGGTGATGAACACCTGTAGTCCCAGCTGCTTGGGAAGGTGAGGCAGGAGAATCACTTGAACCCAAGAGACGGAGTTTGCAGTGAGCCAGGATCATGCCACTGCACTCCAGCCTGGGCGACAGAGCAAGTCT